TGCATTTTCTCTTATGCATTCTTAGACTTTAACAAATTGAGAAACAACTTTTATTTTTTCAGAAACAAATGTATTAACGCTAACTAAGCAAATTTTGTTTAGACCTCACGTATAATTTATAAATGTTACATTATGAAAATTGAAAAAAAAATAATAAAGTATTTTTTGTAATAGAAATGCTTGTGTCTCTCCTTAGTTTAATTAATAAAGAGCTTAGTAAACACAAACAAACAAACAATAGAAATAAATCAACACATGTATATTTACTTAGTGAGAACTTTAATGAGAGTAGAGGAATATCGCGAAAGGGCCTTTAGGTACGTTGAATAATTAAAGATACATGACGACAAAATTTTAGGAAAGCATATTAACAAACACATGTATATACAAATACAAATATATAGCAAATTATAATGCGAATAACTTGAGGCGAATTCGTTGTGCTAATACACAGATAATTACATTTGACAAATTAAAACTTTATTCCAACGTTTAGTAAATTACGGCCATCCATAATGCTTCAAAAATACATTATTGGGTTTTGGGGCGCTTTGCCAGTACGATGAAAAGAGAGAGAGAGAGAGATGATGATGTTGCCTGTGTACTTGTTTGAGAGGGGCGAGCGAAGTTCATTTCATTTCGATGAAATTACTGCCGCCCCTCAAATTCCCATTACATTCAATTCGGGAAACGAGACCCCTCATTTCTCGGCGGCTCGGTTTCTTGCCCACGAAGAAAAAGACCATTGGCAAATACATTAAATAAATGACAACAATTAATTTGCGAACATTTGTTGAAACTGATTGAGTTATTATTATAACAATTGTAATAATAATCATGAAATTATTATTATAAAACATATTGTAATAAGTGTGCTTCACATTTATTTTTTTATACAGTTTAATTTATCAATCAAAAACATAATGTTTTAGCTCACAATTCAATATAAAAAATCATATATCATTTGAAATAAATCATTTAATTTTTACAGTATATCCTTCACAAACTATGTAGTCTACCAATAACTAGATAGAAAATTAACAATCAACCAATTACACAAATATGTTACTTCTCATGGATCAATAACAATTTGTAGATCATACATATTTGAGTTTACTTAAATAGAATAACAGTTATAATTAAATAATCTTTGATTCATATGACAATTAATCAACCATATATTCAATCAATAACAGTATAATATATTTATTTAAAAACCAATTGTTTACTCCCATATTATACATCTTACATTGTAAATTTAACAGAATAACTCTCCAAAATAAACCTGTAATAACTTTCACATGATTGATGTGTCAACCATAGTTTATTCAATTAATTAATTGAAAACTAATTATCAAGAAAAAATAATTTATATTCATTTTACTTATATTTGATTATTATCATAAAACCAATTAACATATTCAACCGACAACAGCATCACCTATCAACTTCAAAATTGTTGTTTATTCAACCAACAATATGATATAACTATTAACGTGATAATGATCAACTTCTATTTTAATCATATTAAATATTAAATTAAATAGAATAAATGATCAGAATTAACTTTAATTACATTTATTTGTTTAATGAAACCAGTAAAAAAAAAATTGTGTCATTAACAACATGTATCAATTTGATCAAAAATTATCAATATATAATAACTTTTAACAATAATCATCAAATAACGTTTAGTTATTGCAATGAGTCAACTATAGTTGTTTGAAGAAGGTACATAGGTTGGGTTGTCTTACCTACTGGAGTCCCACAGACACCGCGCGAGTAACGAATAATACATCATTATTAATCTGTGCGCGTTACATACATTTTTATTATTTGTACTCATGAAACATACTTGAGAATACTGAGGGTGAACTTAAAATGTCAGGTACTAAATCGAGTATAGAGTGTACGTATTTTTATGACATGTTTTGAATATCCTTTAAATATTATTTTCAATTAAAATATCTAATACTCTATTATTTTTAATTTCCCAATAATTAAGACAAATATTTTCAAGAATTAGAATACATTTATGTCTTGCATTTTGCAAAGTTTGTGCTAAATGGAAAAGAAAAAAATAACAAAAGATTTGGTTGGCATTTGTCCATGTAAACTAGGGCGTTAGGGTGAAATAAAAAGAATATATATGTAAAGTTTAATGAAGTTTCTTCAAAAGTTTTTTGAAAATAAAAAGAACCAAGTTAACAGTCTTTTCTTCGTACATCATTTTTTAATACTTTTGTTATAACATCAACTAAATTACAATTATGTATAGTGATTTGTATGATTGATGTAATTTATAGTTGCATACCAAATATTGTTGTGGTTTTGTAAATAAATTAAAAGTCTATGGATAAAAATTGATATAATTTTTTTCACTGTGAATTAAGTAAACTAAAATATGAAAGATCTACAAATTGTTATTGATCCGTGAGTATGTAATATATGTTTGTAATTGGTTGAATAAACTATGGTTGTAATATAATCACTATGTTCGTGTGTTACATTGAGAAAGAAAACTAAAAATAAAATAGATTTACTAATTATTATTATTTACAACTTAATATTTGAATAAGCTTTCATTGCTTTTCGAAAGTTTTAGAGAATTGATGAATGGTTCAATAACTATCAATAGTAAATGGAGCACGCGCATGTTTAATAATACCAGGACACAATGCAATTGTGTGGCAATAGTTTGTGGTAGCGTAAAATTACGTCCATATTTACAAAATACATGCATTCGTAATGCATGCCAGGATATGCACAGATACAGCACGGATCTGCATTGTATGCGACAACGTTGTTCAACGTTGAAAATTTAATTGGTTTCCCCAAAATCCGTACGTAAAACATTTTAAATTGTTGTTTTAGTTATAGCAATGGTAATCTGTACTCGATGCACAATATCTACTGTGTTTTCCATCACCCTAATTTTAGAGTTTCGATCCTAAATGCGGCCAATTTGGATAATTACAATCAGCCATTTATAATCAATAAAGTAGTACAGAAAAACGAAAACAATGCTCACCGTGATTTGCGGTATTGCCAAATGGAGTAGAATCACGATTATAGAATTCAGGTCTATTTGTTAAGCAAACAAAGACCTTTCAACTTTCTATCTATTACAAATATCTTCCAATTCTAACTAATACATTTGTTACATTACATTTTCAAAAAATAATGGCTTATGTAATTTAAGAAATCTTATATCAATAATTATTAAAGAAATAACTGCTATTGACTTTTGTTTTGCTTGTAAAAAATTATTATTGTTTTCAAAATAAGATTAAACAAATTCATCAAGTGGACATAGTACTGATTTAATTAGTGCGGATTCACTACAATAAGGTTTCAAAATTTTCAAAAAAAATACATTTTAATTCAGCAAAATAAAAATATTTGTTTAAAAGTTAGTATACAAAATTATGTGTATGCTGTTTAAAGTCCTCGATTAATCCGGTTTCAAACAGTCCGGTTACATGTCCACTTTAACAATCACTTTTGTATAATTGGAACAGAAAAATTAAAATATTACGGTAACAATAAAAAAAAAATACAGAAATAATTATAAATAAAAACAAATATTACTACAATATATAAAATATAATAAAATATATAAAAGTTTTAAAAGTTTTAATTGGTGATTAAAAGTAAGATGTAAGAAAACGAAATAAATAAGCTGAAGTTGATTATTGGTAATCGCTTGTAATCGGATAACTTGTGTCCCTTTCAATGCTATCGTCTGTTCATCTCTTTAAAGATACCAAGGGAAGAAAGCGTGTTCTAATTTGCGCAGATTACTACGGTTTAAGCTTCACAGAAACTTTAACAATGAATGAAAGAAACGTTTGGAAATACTCACATATTTGGAATGATTAAATAAATTGTGTATTTATTAATTAAGATGTTTGGTTTTTATTTTGATGTTGTTAGGTAATAAAAAATATATATTTGTAAAGGTGCATTCACACTAGATCTCAAAAGTGAACTTCATCACATTCAATTTGTGCATGCAGGACTACAATTATTAAACAGCAATACCTCGCATAGTACGCCTTCAATCAGTCCGAATTCTACTATAGTAAAAAATTCAAAATAAATTGAACAATTAGTATACAAATTGTATGTACTTGAACATAATTATTTTTTTATCCTATTCTCTTCAAGTCTCTTTTTATGCAGTTTATATGATTTGTACGGTTTTAGCGGACAGATTAGTGCGGTTTTATGTGACCTGTTAATGTACTTTGATATAAAATATGTAGTATTAAAAATCATGCTGATATATTTTCATTATACTTTTAAGTTTCCTATACATTTTCAATTAATCAATATATTAATGAAGTAGCATAGTGTATTTTTTACTAAAAACTTGAATGTTTACATAATGTACATGTCTTAAATATACTCCAGGCTTTTACATAATAGAAACCTTTTAACGTGTTTTGTGCTCTTCAGAATTTCATTACTTTTACTAACATCAATTAATGGATTTTGTTAATATGCAACATTGTTCAATATCTTGCCTCTATTTTCTTTTCCAAATTATTAATGGAAAATGTAAATGATATAATCATTTTTTAAAACTATTGACATTAGAGATTCATTACGTATATTTTTGTTCATCGGAGTTTTTTTTCATTTTTTCATATATATATATATAAATCAAATTTATATTAAATCAATTTATATTAAATAACAAAAAATAACGCTGAAGTTATAAAGAAATATCAGACATAAAGATAAAAAAAAATATGCCTAGTAAAATGTGAAATTTTAAACAGACTTTGTTGTATTTGGGAAATTATAAGATTAAAGTTTAGTGTTAATTAATTTAAACTATTAATAATAATTTAATTGTAAATATTTTATTTATATTATATTTGTGTAAAATGGGCCAATAAAATGATTAAATATTTGTGTACTAATAATAATCAAATTTATTCGAAAAAAAAAAATCTTCTATTATTTATATTTGTTGTATTGTTGTTTTGCAGAATGTGAGGATTGTTTATTGAGCTGTCCATTCGATGGTCGAGAGGAGAACATCTGCAAATGTCCTGGGAACGGGGAATCCCCGAACGAAACACGGAATACCGGTGAGTAGGTAGCATCAACTTTTCAGTTGGCAATTCGTAGAGTTAAGTTATTTGGGAAAGTGGTAATTATTTCAATTGATATCCTCGGCAAAACGGTCGGGTTTGCACGTATATCTGCACAAAAGTTTGGCGCAAAATCTTCTAATTTCCTTTGGGGCTAACTTCAAACTCAGATTAAGTTATGAGCAAGCTGCAAGAGGATGGCGGAACAAGGAGAGAAGGAAGGGTTTCAGCCAAGCGCGAATGCGACTTGGGAAATTATCCGCACTCTTTTGCAAATGACACACGTGTTGCTTACAGTTTCGTTATGGAGCTAACATTTTAAAAGTTTTATATACATTTATATTCAAAAATCATGCACATCAAAATCACAATATTATTTATGGATCTTTTCTTGAAAACTTTTTGTCTTTTATTTCTTTAAATATTTATTTATATTTGATTTATAAACTAAATCTTATATAATTAGTAGTACAATGCGCACAATTTGTCTTACATCTTTCTTTCATCTATTTTATTTTGATTTGAATTTTTAGTCATGTATTAAATATTCTATAATATTAGCAACTAAAAGGCAACATTTTTCTAATATCTATAGGTTTCCTTGTGGAAAACATAGCGAAATTATATAGAACATACGAGATCTAAAATATATAAGAATGATCTTATAGGAGAACGTTTTAGGAGCCATTTTTAAGATATTGTCTGTTAAAAAAAATCCTATGAGACGTATCAAACCTAAAAGACAGAATATCTCAACAAAAGAGCTCTATGCAGTTCCGGAGCCGTAGGTTCCTATAGGTTACTATTAAATACCAAAATTAGTGACGATGCAATTACACCAATAATTAAGAACAAACATTGATAACATTAAATTAAGTTTAGTCTTTATTTCAATGTAAAATATTGATATTTTATATAATTGGCAAAAGTATCAAAATATATAAAAACAATCTATTAATTTACCATCTAGAATCGGTATTTTATAAATTATCTAGAAGTTAATCGATATTATACGATATTATAAACTTTAATAGTAAAATATTGGGTTGACAAAGACAGTAATTTCGGTATTGCAGCATAATATAAAACTCTTTTTTTATACAAAAATTAACTTTAACCCTTTCAGGACAACTGGTTACTACTGCTAACCACAGATTTAAATGTTCCTATCGGTTTTTAGTCAATACCATTGTGGAATATATATTGCCTATGTATCAGAGATAGTGTTAATACAGATGGTGGTAACAAACATTGTGAATGGATATGTTTTATTTCGAGAAAGAAATACTAATGAGATACCATTAATATTGGATATGATAAATCAGCACATATGCCTGAACGAGTAAGCTCCCTTCGATGTGCACACTTCAAAAAGAAGTGCATAAAACTATTTGGAAATGCTTGACTTGTGGGCTTGTGTCTTAATAAAGACAGGAACTGTTTATTGTTCCACAAAAAGTAATTCGTTGTTGCAAGTGTC